AGATTCCAAAGACAATAGTAAATTTCCCCACTTTTTACTATATGTTTTCACTGGTTCACTGGCGGATCACGAATTAACGCATATATATATAGTAAGATGTGACGGCGATACATATCACAAATAATTCCAAACTTTAATTATTATAAAATACGTAAAATTATCCGATATATTTGTTGATTCGAAAGTTAGTATGGATAAAAAAAAAGCATTTAAGCAGTATTTGAAATCTGCTGAAGACGACAATTCAACCGGTCAATTTAATGTTGGGTACTGCTATGAAAATGGCATAGGATAGCTAAGGATGAACAAAAGGCTTTTGGGTGGTTTTTAAAATCTGCTGAAGGTGGTAATTTTAATGGGCAACTTAGTATTGGAATCTACTACAAAAATGGCGTAAGCACAACTAAAGATGAAAAAAAGGCATTTTATTGGTTTTTGAAATCTGCTGAAGGTGGTAATCCGACTGGACAAGTTTACGTTGGATTCTGTTACGGAAATGGCATAGGCACAATCAAGGACGAAAAAAAGGCGTTCGAGTGGTATTTGAAATCTGCTGAAGGTGACAACTCAGATGGACAATTAAATGTTGGATTCTATTATAAAAATGGCATAGGCACAGCTAAAGATGAAAAAAAAGCGGTTGAATGGTATTTGAAATCTGCTGAAGGTGGCAATTCGAAAGGACAAGTTAATGTTGGGCTCTGTTACGAAGATGGCATAGGTACCGTTAAGGACGAAAAAAAAGCATTTGAATGGTATTTGAAGTCTGCTGAAAGTGGCAATTCGAAAGGACAATTTAATGTTGGATTCTGTTACGAAAATGGCATAGGCATCATCAAGGACGAAAAGAAAGCATTTGATTGGTATTTGAAATCTGCTGAAAATGGTAATTCTGATGGACAATATCAGATTGGATTTTATTATGAGAGCGGCATAGGAACTACTAAGGATGAAAAAAAAGCATTTGAATGGTATTTAAAATCAGGATTAAAAATATGTAAAGAATGTAATAGTTTAAACACAAATAAAAACTGGTGCCAAAAATGTAATATGCTTCATTTTGAAGAAAACTTTGCAAAGTGGACAAGTGGAAACAAAGTTACTGATAGATTCATACAAGAAACTCAGCTAAAAGCATCAAATTATTATGATGTTTTAGAATGGATTCAATTTGATAAGTTCAAGGATATTAAATATTTAGACAGGGGTGGGTTTGGTAAAGTATATTCAGCAACGTGGGTCGATGGATATATTAGAAATTGGGATTATCAAAAAAAACAATGGAATAGAAACGGTGAAATGATGGTAGCTTTGAAATGCTTGGATAATTCTCATAGGTTTGAAAATTTTTTTACAAGAGGTATGTAATAATTACTGTATTCCTCTGAAAATAAGCACCCCTCGGAGCAATTTCTATAGCCAAAATTCTCGTGATCTAATAATTAGATTTGTATGTTATAGTTATTGTATGGGTTGTAAAAAATAACTAAATTTGCACGGGGTTACATGGCCGAAGGCCATGCCGTGCAAATTTTGTTATTTTATAACCCATATAATAACTATTTTATTGCACGGTGTCTGACGTACAATCCCGTGCCAATAAGTAAATGAAAAAAGCACGGGTTATTACATAAGACTCGTGAAATAAAATTTTGGTACCATTTGATAAGTCGATTCAAATTTTTTTCGGAGGAATAAGGATTAAACCAAATTTTTAATTTATATAAATTACATTTTTTTAAAAAATATTACTAAATTTTTTAGGTTAAGTCACACATAAATATAGAATATGGAAAATGTACTATATGGTGTTATGGAATAACTAAAGATCAAAATACTAATAGTTTTATGATGGTATTGGAATATGCTAGACATGGAAATCTTAGTTATTATATAAATAATAACCCCAATACATTATCATGGAATAGAAAGATAAAAATTTTAGAAAGCATTGCAACAGGTCTTAATGCTATTCATAAAGCTGGATTAATTCATGGTGACCTTCATATGGGAAATGTTCTACATGATGACCACAATGGAACAAATATTACAGATTTAGGATTAAGTTTTTTCGTAAATAATATTGATGATGAAAAGCAGACAGTTTATGGAGTCTTACCTTATATTGCACCAGAGTCTTACGCTCAAAAAAATATACACAAGCATCAGATATATATAGTTTTGGAGTTATCATGAATGAATTGCTTTCTGAAAAACAACCTTTTTATGAAATTTCACATGATATGCATTTGGCATTAAATATTTGTAATGGCTCACGCCCAACAATTGAAAAAGAAATACCAGATTTATTTAAGCAGCTTATTAATAACTGTTGGGACACTATACCAATAAATCGACCAAGTGCGAGCATATTGCTAAAAATATTTAATAACTGGATGGTAGATTTGGATGACCCAAATTCGAAATTAAATGTACAAATTAAAAGTGCTAATATTGAAAATATTGCTTTTACACAACCTCGAAAACAATCAGAAGCATTTTATACAAGTAGGTTTCTCAACCTTTCAAACTTACAAAAATTTGACAATTTATCACAACTTTCACAACCTGTCTACTTTTCTGATATCTTAATGTTCAAATCTAACGAAATTGGTCGATAAAACTGTAATATATCTACTGAAGTTGTTGTAAAAGCAACCAAAATTTTGCAAAAAAAATGAGAACTTTTTCGAGCCAAAATGAAGGGTTGCTTTTATTCGAGTACAATTTTATTAGTAGAACATAATGACCGTGGTCAAATTTTTGGCTCCAAAATCTGAGAGGTTGCTTTTAATCGGTAATATATGGTATATATTAAAAAAGAAAATTTCTAATTTTACACATATTGTACAATACACCGGGTATTGATTTATTAAACTTTTGTATAAAAAAAAAAGGAAAAATCTAGACAGTGCATTGTGCCCCTTAGCAAATTTAACCCTGCAATGAAAATTAGGGTTAGGTTAGGGTTAGAATTTAGGGTCAGGGTAGTGTAAAATTGTGAGAGGAACATTTTTGCTTGGTTACACAATAGGGCTAGCCTAGTAAAATTTTGAGACATTAGCGATTTTATATAATACAGTAATAGGGGCACTGATTAGTCCAGTCCAAAAAAATTATGATTAGGGTAAGGGTGAATTGAGATGAAGGCAGGAAGAAGAAAATTTTTTTTATTAATATTCGAAAGGTGGTTTCGTAAGCAAAATTTTGGGTTATAAATAATTTTTTTTAAAAAAGTAATAATTTTGCGTTACACTTGATCGTGTAATCTGATTAACTTTCTATATTACCCATATATATATATATACATAGTGTTCAAATAGAAATTGTCTTTAAAAAAATATCCGCCGATTTACCGAATTGGACCTTATAATAGGGTCTTTTCATTGAAATGACATGTCCCGTAAGATCTTTTTCAAGGCTATATTTGCTGAGCTGAAAATATTGGAAAATTATTTGCTGAGCTCTTGACTATCAAACCCATAAATCTTGGAGTATACACGTATATGATTTTATTTTGGGATATTATTGATTCTGATATGACAGTTTTTTTTTAACAAAAGTCAATCGTTATGTTTAAACTAAGATTTCGATATCCAAATATTAAAAAAATTCAATTTTTAAATTGTGTTCATTTGAACCGGTAACTAAATATTTTGGAAATTTCTTAAAAGTTTAAAGGCTCTAATCTGCGTCCCTAGACTTTAGCTGATAAATATATTCCAGTAAAATTTATACAATATAGGCCAAAGTTATTTTTTGGTTCCAAATAACCCGGAAATCAGGCTTTTAATTTTTATTTTAAAAAATTATGTATATAAAGTTTATATAAAATTGTTTTAGACATTTTACAAAAAACCACCCAGATAGTAAATATAGTAAAAAAATTTTTCAAATGTTTGTAAAGGTTATGAGAACCAATTTATTAGGCCCAACATAAATACACGTTATATGCCGTTTATTGATTTCGCTAATTCGGATAAGTCATTTTGGATTTCCATCAATCAACGAATGACTTATTGATTCTATAAATTGTATCAATAGGGGGTTTCAGACCTAAGTTAGACCTAATAGGGTTGGATTAGTCCGGTCCTAATATGGGCGCTGTTCAGTAGAAAAGATTAAATAGCTGCAGCAACAAATTTGGACCGGCAGATCCTTGATTTTGATTGGCTAACGGCCGAGGATATTCGAAATTTTGGCCCACATTACAAAATTGGTTACTAATTTCCGGCCGGAATTAACTTTTTAATTTTTTTATTACAA